GGGGGCATTAGGGATGCACAAGTAGCCCATTGGTCTTTGTTTGGCACCATAGGTAAATTCCTAGGGGGTGGGGAAGATGGAGTCACAGGTAAATTCCTAGGGGTGGGGGAGATAGAAGCTCCTTGCTTCTGCCTCTAAGGCTTCACCGGTACAGTGTCCTGTCTGGGCCAAAACTGATTTTCTAGGTGGGATTTCCTATAGCTGCCTACCATAAGAGCTGAAAGCTGTTAACTTTTCTGAAAACTATATTATATATATATAATATCGTTTGCTTTTGTTTTCAGAAAAACACTAAGGACTGACTTAAATGTGGAAGGTCTGCTAAAGTTAGTCATTTTACAGCCATACTAAAGAATGAATCAGAAAACCATTAGATTTAGTATTTAGCACTTAGAGTGCTATATTTAGAGAGAAGTCTTGATGAAGAAGCAAGATATTTGCATGCTTTTTAAAGTACCACTTCACAGACTGCTTTTGTTTTTTAAACAAGGAGAAAAAGTGGTTAAACAGTAGAGAAGTTGGACAATATTTGTGATCAAAGTTAAGAGCACCACTGAACGATTGATAATCATGTGCCTTCAACTGTGATTCCCCAAGGACACATAACCACATTTGTAGAGTAACAGCTCAGAATGTATAACTTCAGTGTAATCCTGGGAAGCCATAGGACAAATTTAAGGTTTATTTTCCGTAAAAAAATAATGAGGAGGAGGGCTGAGGATGTAGCTCAGTAGTAGAGCATTTATCTAGCATGCACAAAACCCTGGGTTTGATCCCCAGCACTGCCAAAACAAAATGTATAACAAACAGGAATGAGGATGAGAGCTATATTTCTAAAATATCAGTAGCATAAAGGCAATGGAAAGCTCTGGGTATGTTCCAGAATGTAAGAGGTGAAAGAGACATGAAAACTAACACAGTATCAGACCCTAAACTTGATCCTATATTGGAGAGGGAAATATGCTATAAAGGACATGACTGGATTAACCATCAGAATTGGAATGTTTATATTAGATGCTTTAACATTGTTAGTGTTAAATTTGTTGACCCTAGTAACTGCATCATGGTTATGGACGGGAGTGTTCCTACTGAGAGGTAATAATAGTCCTTTGTATATAGCATAAAGGACCATGATGCATATGATTTGCCGTCAGATAGTTCAAGAACAAAAATTGGTGTGGAAAAAGAGATTTTACTATTTTTTACTTTTATAACTTGTGAAGAGGTTTTTAATTGTTTCCAGTAAAAAATTGAGACAGCATATATATATATAGTTTAGTTAAGATATATTCATTTGAGCTAGCAAATAGAGCTTAGAGAATTTGTTCTAGAAGTGATGAATAGTTTGAGTTTCTTTCTAATATTAGATATCCTAAGTGCACCTTTAGTAAATACTGAATCAGATCAATTCATAGTTGAATTATTTATTGAATGCTTAAAGTACCAAAATTGTGGTGTTGATTGAAAAAGGATCCACATTGAAATGCTAAATACAGGGCATTTTAGTGTGAAAACAATCTTGTGAAAATGTAAAATCTTGTTTTATTTTGTATTAGTTCACTTTCTCATGAAGATGTTTCAGAGGTGCTTTTAAAGGAAGCTGCTGTTTTTCTCTCAAGGGAACTTTGAAATTATGGAAGCAGTCAGAAAGCTCAAGTATAGGTCCAGTGTTTGAAAATATAAAATAGAAAAAATATTAATTGACTGCCCTCTACTGTAAAGAAGCCTTGAGTTTTTATTTCCTCCAGAAGGTTGTGATTTTACATGACTCAAATCTACTGTCTCCTGCATGAAAAGGAAGGAAGGAAGAAGGAATGATTTTGAAGGGACTTACATGCTAATGATCTTTTGTGGATAAACTAGTTGCCAAATGCCTAATAACTGAATATCTTTCAGTTAAGCAAATTCGAGTCATTAAAAATACAACACTGTGGAAAATTTAAAACTATTAGGGAAATAAATAAAAAATGTCAAGTGCTATTAGTAAATACCTGAGCAAACCTTTTTTTTGGAGACAGGGTCTGATTGTAGTGTAGGCTGGCCTTGAACTCACTTACATAGCCCAGGCTGTCCTCAACTCATGGTAATCCTCCTGCTTCAGTCTCCCAAATGCTGGGTTACAGGCATGCACCACCATTCCTGGCTGGACATTTTTTAAACCAAGATACATTTTTTGTTGTGTATGACAAAGATCCTTACTTTAAAATGTTAAAGACCCTTTATGCCTGTGTTTGCAAAAGAAATTCTTAAAAATTGAACAGAAGTTTAAATTGATAAATATCTTGAAAGTCTATAAAATAGAAATGCACCTCATTTTTTGTGTCTGTGGGTTATAATGAAAAAAATGCTTGCAGCTGTTAGTTTGCTGGGACATCTGCTGGCCTAAGAGCTAGTTGTTAAAATTGTAGGAGATTTTCATACAGACTATTACACAGCCATTATTAAACATGAAGTTACATAGGCCTACTGTTAAACACTTTACATTTAAAAAATATTTAAAACTCATTTCTACATTTTGTTATAAACTGTGCTCTGGAATGATTATGCATCATTTATTTGTGCAGAAATTCTTTCAAGTGTTGTGCATCTTCACCACTTGCATGTTCAGTAGTATCACATTAGTAGTATGAAATTAGCCATGGTAAGAATATTTGCAGCACAGACTGGCAAATGCCATTAAGTTAGGGTTCAATATATTATTTATCAGTGGTCTAGATGTAAAGTGTTAGATAAAATGCTGTTAATGTAAATGTCATACTTTTTCCCCCTATTGTGAATAGCTCAAAAAACAACGTATTCTCTCATTACTTGGAAATTATTATCTAATTTAACAAAGATGTTGATGTTGACGTAAAAATAGCAGTCAATACAGTAATACCTCTGTTCATGAATGCCTCTGTTTATGAATAATTCAGTTTACAAAGCGAAGCACTGGGCAGAACTTGCTTCTGTTGGTGAACTCTGTATTGGGTTACAAATGCGATCTTGGCCGTCTTCACTGCTCTGGCACATGGTTGTGCTTTCTGTAGTCAGGATGGCAGTTGCAGGCAGACGTGTGCACATTTACTAGGAAGCTTTTTTATGTGTACTTTTTAAGTACGTGTAGTACAGTAGAGTGTTATTCAGTACAGCATGGCTCCAGACAAAGTACAGAGCAAGTGTGGTGATAAAAAGGAAGTACAGAGCAGTAGTAAAGGTGGTAAGAATGTACAGGGTGGTAATGAAGGTAACCAGAATGTGCAGAGTGGTAAGGAGCATGACAGGGATGCGCAGAGCAGCAATGAAGGTAACGAAGTGTAGAGCAAGAATAGTAAGAAGGTGATTTTGAAGAAAATAACCTTTGAATTGAAGGAAATTGTAGAAAAGCATTATCCGGCCTTAGAGTGCAAGATGATGAAATCTCAACTACAGTCTTTTGAAGAATAACGATGACATCAAAGGAGCTGACAGCAAAAGGAGTTAACCAGACAGAGGATACAAGTGCTGGAAAAGGTGGAAAAATTTTTTTAGTGTAAGCTGGATGAGAAACAGATGGCAGGTGATAGCATTAGTGGAGCTATACTGTGTGAAAAGGCTAGGAAATTGCATTGATACACTGCAAGAAAATCCCTCTACAAGAGTAACAGATGATGAATTTAAAGCCAGTAGAGGATGATTTGATAACTCTGTAACAGAAGTGGTATCTATAGTATGGTAAGGTATGGTGAGACTTCTAGTTCTCACAAGGCTACTGTAGAACCCTGTAAGGAAGAGTTTGCAGAATTCATAGAGGCAGAAGGGTACACTGCTGAACAGACGTTTAGCTGTGATGAAACAGGGCTCTTCTGGAGGAAGATGCTGAGCAGAGCCTGTATCATACAGGAGGAAAAGCCACTGCCCGAGGACAAATCTATGAAGCATAGATTAACCCTTTTTCTGGGTGCAAATGCACAAGCATTGATCTGAAACTTAAGCCACTACCCAGACCCCTTGTGCATTGAAGGAACAGAATAAAGCCAGACTACCTGTCATGTGGAGGGCCATTGTGAAAACTTGGGTCATAAGGCAGTTGTTCACAGAATCGCTGCATGAGGTGCTTAACTATAATAGAATTGTACCTTCTTCTTTTTAAAATTATGTATTTACTTTTAATTGACACAAAGGAATTGTACATACATATGGGTACACTGAGACATTTCAGTACACAAGTATGTATGTAAGTCTTTATAGTGATTAGATGTCTTTCTTTTTTCCATTACTTTTTTTTTTTTTTCCTACAAAGTCTTAGTTCTAAAGCAGTCTCAGCCCAGGCATAGTGGTGCGTACTTTTATAATCTGAGAACTCTGGGAGAGTGAGACAGGAGGAGTGCAGGTTATTGCCTAGCCTGCGTAACTTAGCAACTTAGTGAGAACTTGTCTCAAAATAGGAACTAAAGGTAGGCGCGTGAGGGGAGGGGCGGGGAATAGCTCAGTGCGGAAAGTCCTTAGTCCATTCTACAGTACTCTTCCCCACCTCCTCTAGGAAGTATTTTTTGGTTATAAGAATCTTTTTACGTATCTGTATTTATGTCGTATAAATGTGACTTCTTGCGGTTCTCATATACTTTTCAAAGCAAAAAAGTCTTAAGTTTCTAGATTGTAGAGATGGTTGGTTATATTCTATTTTATGAATGCTTGATTGCTGGCCATCACTACTTACATAATTTAAAAATTCAGCCTAAAAGAAAGCTACTTAAGTAGAAAAGATTTTGAAGTTAGAGGTTAATGGTTTAGAGAAATATGAAGAAAAGGGATATTTGGATAAAATTTGTGATCTCATGAGTTTCTTGGATTTTATTTTCCTTAGTTGCACACTTGATTGCATTGATCATTTTATGTCTGGTTTTACTTTTTTTTTAATTCAAAGATTTCTATTGAATGGATTAGTAGGCAGGCCCTCTACTTAGTCCTCAAAAATCTCTTGGTTCAATACACTGTAATTAGTTTTCATTAATTAAGTCACTCTTTTTTTTTTTTTTCAGGTTGAGGTGGTGCCATGCAGGAAGAAGTGGAGAGATGCAGAGGTCGAGCCAAAAGGCCTGACATGGCGCTTTATGTACCTAAAGCTCGTAGGAATACAGTTCTCCTTAACACAGGTGATAAGGAAAAAAGCTGTGGCCCTCCTAACTCTGTGGTGAAAGAACAACAAAAAGCAAGTTGTCTTTCTCAAAAACAGACCTTGGAAGACAAGCCTGAGGCTCAAAGACTAAGTATTAACACTGATAAGAGGGAGAATAATTGTAGAGAAGGAAAGAAATCTTTAACAAAATTTAAAAAAGACACGTGTTTTCATAAAAGGAATAAAGACAGGCTTTGTACTAAGAAAGGACTCACATTATCCAAAGAAGTTTTATCCGAAGAACATGAGCAAAGAGTCTTAAATGCTGGGATTATGCCTTCAGTACCTTTACAAAGATACTTTAAACCAAAGGCAGTGGAGTGTTTGGAGGCTCATTATACAGATGTGACAGGATATGAAGGAATACTTCTCTCACAGTCTCATTCAGAAATTAGTGAGATTAATCAGGTTCTAAGCAGACCATTTCACAGTAAGGAATTATGTGATTTCAGTGGACATGAACTAAGTGGGGAAATTTTTGAAGACAAAGATTCAGGAAGCAGAACTGAAACTGATGCCAAAGTTGTGGAGATAATGTCCCAGCTTCCTATAGATCTTACTGCTGTATTAAAACCTGAGAGCATGACTGCACAAGCAGAGGTATGCTTGGATTCTGAATTTATGCAACAAAGCATACGAATACCAGATGGAACGTTGAAGCTCAACAATGGAAGCATCACTGCTGTTTCTGTTTCTGAAAGTCCACGTGTTGTCATTGGTCAGACTTGTGCAGACTGTGAAGTTGAGAGTATAGGTGATACAGCCAACAGTACAGGTTTCATGTTGGGGCAGAAAGGTATAGATTCCATTCCTGAGACTATGGCTCACGTTGCTCATAAAATGACTATGGTTAGCAAATTAGAGCACAAAAATGACATTATTGATCCAACAATGATTAGAGGATGTGAGGAGAATGACAGCACTAATGATAAGTTATGTGGAAAACATGAATCTTCTGATACTGCTGTTCTTGCTCATGAAATAGATAGTGGATCTGAGAGTATAGATGGCCTTACTAATAAGGCATGTATGATAGATGTTACAGGTCCCACATGTGATCATGTAACTGTAGGTAGCCCTTGTGTAAGTCAACTAGATGATACTGGTAGTGATACAGGTAGTTTCTCAAAATGCATAGCAATGAATGCAGATATAGCCCCTCCTCATGTAGTTAAAAGTGAGAATGACTCTGAAAATTTCAGCAGTCTGACTGCTTGCCCAGATACTTATGCTGAAAGTGTTTCATCTAGTTTTACAGAGTCAACAGGAAAGTTGGTAGAGAGCATGTCAGATTGTACTTCCTCCTCACCTGTTAAGATTGCTGATAGTAACTGTAACACATTTTTGGACTCTAAACCACATATTTCAAATGGGACAAAAGAATTTTCAGAGAGTGCCTTTGGCAATGATCTGGATATTACTGGTGATATAACAGAGGCATTACATGAACTAAGAACTGCTAAAGAATTCAAAACAAAAGAACAAGATGACTCAGAGAATATAGAATTTGCTGTGTCATTTCCTGTTAGAGAATCATCTCTGGAAACATCCATGGAATTAAAACTAGCTGAAATGTCTCACAGAACAGAAAGTACTGCTGTAGAGGAGAGTTGGGAATCTATGTTTAACGATGATGGTGACTGTGTAAATCCACGTCTTCTACAAGAGGTATGTTCACTTGAAACTCTGAAGTTTCATCTGTTTATAAATTTGAGGAACTTTTTGGAGGTGATTTTGATAGACCTTTTTATGTTCACACATTCACTCATACTCAAGGATCCCTAAAATAACCTAATAGAATTGTAGATTGAGAAAGGAATAGATTTTTTAAGTTAAAACATGGATCTGAGTTGTATCTATATAACCTAAGCCTGCGAGATCTGACCGAATAGCTTAAAGAGGAATTTAATGAATTCTGGCTATCTGTTGAGGAAATACACAGGGACACTTCTTCAAAAGTATTTTTCTGTATTGACAAGTTATATTTTACATGAACCCAGTTGGGGAAAGGAGCATATAACTGTTATTCATATTTGCATTTTAAAAATGGATTGTTGGTATGTTGTGAGGCACTGTAGAGCAGGCATGTCCAAATTTAGAGCCTGCTGGGTCCCCCCCCCCCCAGTAAAAGGAATTGTTTTAGGCCACATATTAAATATATATATAACATAATGTTTATAAGTAATAAGACTTCCTTTTTAAACTTTTTATTATAAAGGCTAAAAGCAGTCCACAAATTGGGTATGCTTGTTTTAGAAGAAAGGCAGTGAAAAAGGGAAGGGTAAAAGACAGTATGGCCGTTTTTTAAGGAATTTATGTTAAGGTGAAGAAAAATGACTGCTTAGTGTACTAGCAAATAGGAATGAATAGTAACATACTTGGCCAGTTAAGAGTTCATAAATAACAAGATAATTAGATGGATTTGAAGATAGGTTACAAATTACTTAGTTCTTTTTATTTTCTTAATTTATATGTTTAATTTTTATTCATTTAATTTCCTTACTGTAAATTAAAGTCATTAGTTTTAAATAGTAGAACCACTCTCATACTCATTATAGTGAATTCGTGTAACGTTTACTTGAAGGGAAAAATGATTTCCAATTCTATAAATGAAGAAATTAAAGCTTAGTATTCACACCCTTAGAAAAAGCAGACTCAGGATGTCAGTCGAGGTGCTTCTTAAATCTACCTAGTATTTATGCTCTCTTTTTCTTCACCTAAAGAGTTTTGTTTGAGCCACTTTAGAGAAATCTTTAAATATTGAACAATAAGTCTTTTATTTCTGAAAATTAGACAGTTGGTCTGAAAGTATAGATACATTTTCATATGCCTGGGAGAGAACCTGGTGAGACTGAAGAGGGTAGCCTGTTGGGCAAACTGATTTTCCAGTACCAAGCAGTCCCATCTCATTTTTAGGTGTTTACACAGAGTGTCATTATTACTTCTTACTTTTTAGTTGGGGATCATCGTACCTTAAACATTTTTAGAATTGTAGAACAGAGAGTAGCTATAGTTGAGCATCAGTGAACCCTTTTGGTTTGTTTTGAGACAGGGTCTCACTGTGTGGTTTAGACTGGCACTGTGTAGCCCTCAAACTTGTGCAATCCTCCTGCCTCAGTCTCCTGTGTGCTGGGATTACATGCCAAGTTGTATATGCATGTGCATTTCTTTGTAACTTTCACCAGATTCACAAAGGGAATCTAAAAGTGTGATGCTTGGACTAGCAGCATGAGCATCGTCTGGAACTTGTTAGAACTGCAAATTCTGTAGGCCAACAACCTGTACATTTATAACTTTTTAAAAATAATTCTGATCATGTAAAGTTTGAGAAATGCTGCTCACAGATAATACACAAATGCATATCAAAATTAGAGTGGAAACCTAAAGATGGTGGACAGCCCATAGTTAGAAAAACACTTGTACAGAGGTTTGAGACCCACATCAGATTAGAAATAGTAGTAGGGTAAGTTAGCTGAATTTAGAGAAAAGGTGTTAGTCTGAGGAAGGAAGCAGTTCACAGGATGCAGACAAATAACTAAGGAACACACACACACACAGAAAATAGCATCGTGCGAATGAATGCCATACCATGCAGAGCTTTTTATTCATGGAAGTATTTACTAAATACTGATGGATGAAAATGATAGGGCAGAGTTAGAGCTCTTTTTAAGAGTGGTCTCTAGGAGCTTTCACTGTACTGTGAGTCAGGGTCTCACTATGTTGTCTAGGCTGGTCTTGAACTCCTGGACATAAGCAGTCCTGTCTGCTTGACCTCTTGAATGCTGAGACAGCATGAGCATGCTGCCTTACTTGGCTCCAGAGGCTTTCAAAATGTTATTGCTGCAGGAACTCAGGTGCTGCCTGTAATGGTTGGTGCATTGTGTTACCTTGAGAATTATATAAGTTTAACTGGGAGACTCAGCAGGGAGCCGGGATCCTTACTTTGTAAATATCCTTATTCTGTGCAAGAGGAGGGCACAGAGATTTTGTGAATACTACCTCTGCCCTGGAAGGAGGGGAAACGTGGCACGCGTATAACATAAGGAAAAGAGGCTTGCTTTGTGTCCCCTTTTGCTGGTTGCTGCCTTGAAGTGTTGCCCCAGTGCCATGCCACCCTGCCTTGGAGCCAACTGATTATGCACTTGAAACCAAACCTTTCCTTCCCTCATTTTGGGTGTCAGGTATTTTGTCCCAGCAATGAGAGAAAAGTAACTAAGACACTGTGTGATAGTTTAGGTATATCCCTTATGTACTGGGGAATGGTCAATGGGGTATGGCAGTTCTGTTTTCAGGTCAGGTGCAAAAGAATTTAAGGAAAAACTGAGTATTTTGAGGAACATAGTAACAAAGAGTATACTGATGTGACTTCAAGCTGGCAGTGGCAAAACAGTACAGTATGCAATGTTTTGAGTTGAAGAGGACCAGTATCTGATGTCTTTTGGAGGAATATAGAAAGGGTTGGGGTCTGTGTTGACTGATGAAGATGAATGAGAATAGAGAGAATGTAAGTACCAGATCCAACTCTAACTTATGTTCTCTTCTACTTTGAGTTTTATGTTACTAAATATATTTAATATTTATATAATAAATATATTTAAAATACATATTTTATGTAATGTTATTAAAAGATGTCACATAATACATTAATAGTTCTTTGCTGACTTTTAGTTTATTATTTATGTTGTTCCAGATATGCTGTATTATTACTTACGCTGTACCGGAGTGCTTACCTATCTTGAAATGTTTTTCAGCCTAAGAGGTGGTTTTTTTGTTTTTGTTTTTGGCTGTTTTTTTAGCTGTCCTACTTGTTGATAATAACTAAACATACAGAGGCCATATGTAATACATGTAGTAAGCAGGAAGGTATATGTAAAATAGGGTGTCGTAACCATTGGCATGTGAAACAATGTGCTGTGATATTTGAATCTCTGAAACTGCCTGAAGAGGTGGAGCACAATTATTACTGAGCTCCTAGAACTACAAACCTTGATGAGTCTCCAAAGGTTACCCTTAGTTTCCTAAAGCCATGATACAGAATGCCCAAAAACCTAAGTTAGTAATTGATAAATGAGAAAACATTGACATGCTTTTTTTTCTTCTTTAAATCCTTTTATTTGAACATTACTTCATGTATTTATTTGCCATTTGTATTCACCTGAGAAGTATATGTTAATCTCAGATGCCCATTTTTGGTTTGGGTCTTTGAATTGGGGAGACCTAATGTTTTTTAATCCTTTATATGTTCTAGATAAAAGTCCTTTGTGTAAGGGACAGTTGGCTAAAATATGTATTTATTTATAAAGAGGATAAAACAAGCCAGTGTAAAAGATACAGGACTTCAGAACATTACAAAATCAACAATAGTTACCATAATGCCTTTTGATATCTTTAAAATAGCTGCAGATATCTTTGGACATAGTAAAAATCAAACAACAGAATAGAATAGAAACAATAAAAACAAAACAATGAATACAATAAAGGACTTCAAAACAAGCCTGTAGGAGTTCCAAAATTGCTACCATAATATATCTTGCTATCTTTGAAATAGCTGCTCATGCCATTGGATTTGACATAATCAAAACAAAAGAGAATAAACCCCAACCCAACAAAACAGTGGAAACGATATAGGACTTCCAAAACAAGACCATAGGGAATCAACAATGCCTGCAACCCTCAGAAGGAGATCTCCCCTAGATGTGTACCACTAGCCTCTGAACCTATAATCAGACCACTGACCCTAGACCTGCGATGTTAGTGAAACACCAAAAGCACCACAGGCATCCAATTGCATTTCACCTCCATAGCTATCATCACAGCCTGTGTTTCTCTGGATAAACCTGTTGCTTATGGCAAGGGGATGGGGGGATTGGTACTTTTTGTTTGCCAGCCTATCTTTTTGGTACTTTTTGTGTGCCAGAAGGGGCTAGAGTCTGTTTCAGTTTGCCAGCAGCCTATCGCAGCACTGGTTTCCAAACTGGACTTGCTTGCTGGTGTGGCTTTGTTCTCTCTATTCATGGAGAGAGGCTGGGGTCTGTCCCAGTACAGTGGCAAAAATCTATTTTATTTAAAGATAAAAGAAAGAAGAAAAAAACTACAGTAAAATTTTAAAGCACAGCAATTGAGGCCAAGTGACTCCCAAAATTAAAAAAAAAAAAATTCTGAGCTCTAGATTTGTTGCATTTTTTTCTTTCTGAGTTAGCATGCAAACCAGCAGCATTTTCATTCTGTTACTCTTTCAAAGCCAAAGAAAAATAAAGTTTTAGGCTTACGGTGTCAACACAAGGAGTTTTGTTTTGATGCTTTAGGGCTTGTTTGTTTGGACAGGATCTAGCTATGTAGTACAGACAGGATTTGGGCTCACTATGTAGTCCAAGATGACCTTAAATTCATGGCAATCTTCTTTCCTCAGCCTCCCAAATGCTGAGATTACAGGTATGTGCCGCCAATCCTAGCTTTCAGAGGTTCTTGTTAGCCCTTGAACTGTGCTTTTTGTTTCCATGAACTCCATGAGATGTGGTATGTGGGGTGTGGTTGAAGCACATGGAGAACAGATAGTGATATAGCTCGTGCTTGTATCATTTAATTGTTTAGTGACAATAACAAGGGGGATGGTTAAGGCTAGTAGAGAGAATCAGAGTATATTCCATATAGTGGTCAGGAAGAAACAG